ACGCCGCGCTCGCACATCCACACCGACACCGGGCCGAGGAGGTCCTCAGCGGGGAGCAAGTCTCCGAGAAGTTCTTCAGCCAGTCGGTAAGCCCCGCTTGCACCACGCCGTCGTCGTCCGTTCCGACGGCGCAGTTAACGTGTTTCCGACCGCTAGGCTCCGCGACGACGACAGACATGACGCTGACCTGGCGGGCGGTGGGCGCCGCGCTGCTGTGCGCCGCGCTCTGCTCCGCGTCCAGCCCACCCTCGTCCCGCGCCCTCGCCCTGGCCGGCGCCGAGGACGGGGCCGCGGCCGCCGCGGCGGGCGACTACGCCGGCACCGAGTACAGGCTGCCCGTGGTGAGTACCGTCGCCAAACAGTCGCAAACAATGCCTTGACGTCACTCGACGCCCGCCTCTGACTCGTCGCGACACCCTCCGCCCCGCAGACGCTGGTCCCTTCGGCGTACACCGTCGACCTGGTGGTCGACGCGGCCCTGGACAAGTTCACGGGGACGGTCGCTATCAAGACGGTGGCGCTGCGGGCCGCGACCTTCGTCACCCTGCACATGGACCCCGCGTGGCTCACGGCCACCAGCATCACGTTCGAGTCGAAGACCGCGAATGAAAAATTCGGACCCAACCGAGACATTGACCTCGCGAAGGAGGTCGTGCTGGACAAGAAGCTGCAGACAGTCACGATCTACCCGATGAGCGGTACAGCACCAAACCTTGCAAACTACACCCTTGTTCTCGGGGAAAAGTACACATTGACTATCAAATACAACGGTGTGCTGAGGGGAGACATGTACGGCTTCTACAAGAGCACCTACACGTCGAGCACGGGGGATGTGTGAGTAGTTACTCGGGCCCGAGCGGCCGGGGAGTATGTTCACGCGCTCTGCCTGGTGCAACAACCTGACCTGCCCCACCCTGCCATGCCCCACAGCAAGCTCGCGGCGACGCAGTTCGAGCCCGCCTACGCCCGCAGCGCCTTCCCCTGCTGGGACGAGCCCCACTTCAAGGCCACGTTCGAGATCACGATCACGCACAACAGCAAGCTCACGGCGCTGTCGAACACCATGGAGGCGTCCTCAACGCCGTAAGTCGTCTTTCCACCGCGGCGGTGTTAATGCAGGCAGGCTTCTGTACAACTCTTTATTTATTGTTTTTATTATTTTTTCCCGCAGGGACACCACCGGCGCGACCAAGACCACCGTATTTGCGACGACACCACCCATGAGCAGCTACTTGGTGGCTTTCGTGGTGTCCGACTTCGAATACAAGGAGGGGGAGTTCCCACCGGCAGCGGGCGCGAGCACGACTCCCACGCCCACGACCACGCCCTCGTCCGCGGCCACCACGACGCCCTCGTCCGCGCCGGCGCCGGCACCGACGTCCGCGCCCGCGCCTGCAGCCAACAGCATCACGTACAGGGTCTACGTGCGACCGGAGTCGGTGAACCAGGCCGTCGAAGCGGCCAAGTTGGGTCCGCTGTCCCTGCAGAAACTGGAGGAGTTCACTGGCATCACCTTCAAGGGGGGCTCGGGACTCTCCAAGCTGGACCTGATCGCCATCCCGGACTTCTCGGCCGGCGCCATGGAGAACTGGGGGCTCATCACCTTCAGGTGAGCCGAGCTGTTCGGGCGGCGCCGCTCTGACGCAGGGCTGTGCGATCCACAGATATCGTGATACCGAAATGTCGTGATATTGCCGGCCTCGGTGACGCTGACCGCCTCGCTCTTTGCATGTCCTCCAGGGAGACCGGGATCATGTTCGACGACGCCGAGTCGACGGAGGCCTCGCGCGAGAGCATCGCCCTGGTGATCGCGCACGAACAGACCCACATGTGGTTCGGCGACCTGGTGTCGCCCGAGTGGTGGGGCTACGTGTGGCTCAACGAGGGCTTCGCGCGCTACCTGCAGTACGTGTCCATGGACCTGGTGCGGCCCGAGTGGAGGCTCATGCACACCTTCGCCGTGCGCACGCTGCAGGGCGCGCTCTCCTTCGACGCGCTCGCCACCTCGCACCCCATGAGCGCCACCGTCTACACGCCCGACCAGATCCAGGGCATCTTCGACCGCATCTCCTACGACAAGGGCGCGTCCGTGCTGCACATGATCCGCGGCGTGCTGGGCGACAACAACTTCAAGGCCGCCCTCAACAGCTACCTCACCAAGATGTACGCATCCAGAACGCTCTGTCGCCCCCATGGAATTAAATTTCCAGAAAAGCATTTTGGAGGACTTTTTAAAGACTTTTTTCTATAAACGTCTGGGTTTTTGGTTTTTCTTTAATAGTTTTGTTGTTGCTTTTTTTTTCATTTTTCTGGAAATATTTCAATGCTTTCCGCCACCGTGTCTCCTCTTCTCAAGCCTCCCTATTCCCTATCTCTCTCTCTCAGGAGGTTCTACGCCGCGAAGCCCAGCGACCTCTTCCAAGAGTTCGACGCGACGGCGTCCAAGGCCGTGTTCCCGCTGCCCAACGGGGTGTCCGTCGCCGAGGTGCTGTCGGGCTGGACGGAGGAGCCCGGCTACCCCGTGGTCACCATCAGCACCCTGAGCAACGGCACCGTTGTCGCCTCGCAGGTCAGAACCGCGCAGAATCACAAGACCATCGGAACATGCTATACACCAAAAATTAGAAAGGAAAAATCGTAGCATGAACATGACAAGACCCGACAGAGTGTACATCGTTGTCCTCCTTTCCTCTCCCCGAAGGCCCGCTTCATGTCCTCGGGGGCCTCGTCCTCCAGCCAGCGCTGGTGGGTGCCCCTGACCGTCACGACGAACAGCAGCGGCTCGGCGACGTCCAAGGTGTGGCTGAGCCCGAGCGACAACGTCACGGCCCTCCCCGGCGTCACGCCCGCGGCCAACGACTGGATCATCGGCAACGTGGATCAGAACGGTACGCGGGCTATGTACTACCTGGCCATGAACCCTCTGTCCGTCCGTGACACTGAAATCATCGAGGGGTGCTTCACTATAAATACACGTGCACACGATTTTTTTCGCGATCTTTCTTTATTTTATTAATTTGTTTCTTGTTTTTCTCTTATTTTTTCTCACTTTTTTCTGACTTTCTTCTGAAGTTTTTCTGAAATTTTCAGATCATTTGTGAATTTTTTACATTTTGTTCTACTTTTTTGGAAGGGTGTAAACTGGTTCTTTTAAAAGTGTAGTAGTACCCCACCCCTCCGCGGCGATCGCGGCCTGTCACTAAACGCTCCACCTGCAGGCTTCTACCGGGTCAACTACGACGAGGCCAACTGGCGCGCGCTGGCCGCGCACCTGCAGCGCACCGTGGCCGGCGTGTCCGTGCTGAACCGCGCGCAGCTGCTGGACGACGCCATGAGCCTGGCGCGCGCCGGCCGGCTCAGGTACGCGCTCGCCCTGGACGCGGCGCTCTACCTGCGCCTCGAGACGGACCCCATCCCCTGGACGGCCGCCTTCGGCCACCTGTCCTTCATCACCAGGATGCTCGCCAACAACGAGGCGCAGGCCAAGTTCAAGGTGAGGTTGTGCTCCGTCGAGGATGATGTTCGAATCTTTCGGTCGCAGTTCGGGCAAAGTCCGCCGCGAGGTTCGTTGGATCTGATCGAACTGCACCGCACCTCCGCCTGCCCTCAGAGCCTGCAGCTCGAGCTCCTGGACGCAGTGAGTAAGGACGTCGGCTTCGAGGAGAAGGAGGAGGGCAAGGACCGCGACAAGAACCACCTGCGGCTGACCTTCCGCGCCACGCTCATGGGGCAGGCGTGCGGCCTGGGCCAGGAGGACTGCGTCGGCAACGCCACCAAGGCCTTCAAGGCCCTGCGCGACTCGGGCGCCGCAGTGCCGCCCAGCGTGCGCAGCACCGTGTACTGCACGGGCCTGCGCAACGGCACGACCAGCGACTGGGACTTCCTGTGGAAGCGGTACGGCGACACGGCCTCGCCCGGCGAGCGCAGCCTCATCCTGGGGGCGCTCGGCTGCACCCGGGACGAGGGCAAGCTCAACGAGTACCTGGCCAACTCGCTCAACGGCAAGGTCCGAGCCCAGGACGCCTCGGCCGTGTTCAGCTCCGTGCTCGGGGGCGGCGACAACCTGGAGCTCGCGTTCAAGTTCTTCAAGGACAACTTCAAGAGTATGGTGGAGAGGTAGGCGCAGTGGTCGCTCTGACAGCTCGGACAGCTGGTGACATGGTTGTGCTCGATGCACCCCCCAATCAACCATCTCGAACGAGTTCTTTTCTCAGACGTAACAGACGTTTGTTCTTGTGCCACTTGTTGCAGCTACGGGGGCTGGAGCTCCATCCAGAACGTAGTGGAGGGCCTCGCCAGCAGGATCGTGGACGAGGCCAAGTTGAAGGAGGTGGGGGTGAAGGGGGTAGGGGACGCCGTCGGGGAGGCTCGTTTCGCGTCGCTAACACTCTCTCTGCCTTGTGCTCGCAGCTCGAGGACTTCCTGACGGCCAACAAAGACGGCCTGGGCGTGGCGCAGGCCGCGGCCGTCCGCTCCCTGGAGACGGCGAGGACCAACATCAAGTGGAGGAGCGCACACCTGGCCGAGGTGGCCGACTGGGTGGCGGCGCGCGGCGGGGGCGGCGGCAGCGGCGCGGCGGCCGTCCTGGGCGCGCCGCTCCTGCTCGCCACCATGCTGGCCCTGCTCGCGGCCTGAGCGGCCCGCGGCCGCGCCGGCAACACTGGGCGGGGGCGGCCACTGTTGCGCGGCAACTCTCCCCCGCGCGCGCCTCCCGCGGCGACCCGCGAGGCACCCGGGCCAGGCCAGGGCATGAGTCGGCAGCGGCGGGGCGCGGGGGCCGGGCCCCCGGGCGGCGGGGGCGGCGGCGGTGGCGGAGGTGCGGGGGCCAAGGGGGCCGGGGAGGCGGTGCAGGTGGTGGTCCGCTGCCGCCCCATGAGCGGCAAGGAGGCCAACCAGGGTCACACGCAGATCATCGACATGTGGCCGCAGCGCGGTGAGTGCGCGCCCGGCGACACCGACAACCAGTATTTATTGTTGTACAACTAATCGAGTAATAAACATAAGTATCTTTTTTATCGTACCGACTTGTCTCAACGCGCCCAGCAGCCTCACCTCCGCCACCCACACTCTCACAAATGTCGCCCAGCAAAACAGGAAACACGGACACATTCGGGACAATTATTTCTAGACCAAACAGCCAGTTCTCGACACAAAAGCATAGCATGCACAACCGCTTTGCAACAAGTAGCTCTTCGTTATCGAGCAATAAGATCTCGAGGGGATCTCTGCCAAAAGCACCATGATAAAGAAACACAGTGTTAATAAAAGGGGTTTACTGTGATATGTCGAGATCATGTCACGTCGTGGTCTCCTTCAACACCCGCTGACGCGAACTGACGATGTCCTCTGCAGGCATCGTGCACATCACCAACCCGCGGGCGGGCTCGGGGCGCGGGGGCCGGCGCCAGGCCGCCCGCATGTTCACGTTCGACTCGGTGTACGACTGGAACTCGAAGCAGGACGACCTGTACGAGAACACGGTGCGGCCGCTGGTGCACTCGGTGCTGGACGGCTACAACGGCACCATCTTCGCCTACGGCCAGACGGGCACGGGCAAGACGTACACCATGCTGGGCGCCACCCAGGCGCTCGGCCCCGGCCAGGGCCCGCGCGAGAAGGGCATCGCCTCCAAGTGCTTCGAGGACGTGTTCCGGCACATCGCCTACACGGGCGAGCGCACCAGCTACGTGGTCCGCGCCTCCTACCTCGAGATCTACCAGGTGCGAGGGGGGCGGATGGTGACGTCATACCTCTGGCAGGTGTGACGTCATGTTAATGCCGACAGTCGGAATGACGTCATGGCAATCCGTTCGGTATGACGCCACGGCAATGCCGACCGTCGGTATGACGCCACGGCAATGCCGACCGTCGGTATGACGTCATGTCGGGCGCGACGTCGCCGTGACGTCGACAGGAGGAGACCCGCGACCTGCTCAGCCCGGACCTGGAGTCGTACCGGCGGCCGCTGGCGCTGGGCGAGGACGCCACCCGCGGCGTCTACGTCAAGGGGCTGCGCTCCGTCGTCTGCAAGAACATCAAGGCCATCGAGCGCGTGATGCGCGTGGGCAACACGAACCGCGCCACGGCCTCCACCAACATGAACGAGCACAGCTCCAGGTCGCACGCCATCTTCCAGGTCACCATTGAGATGCAGGTGACTGACCGGCCCGGCCCATCACAGCGAAAACCACGTCACTTCAAAGGCTTTATTTTAGACAAACTTTACTCCAAGATGAAGTGCACTCGTAAAAAGAATTGCCTGTAATGACTAGGGATCTTAAAGTCCGAAATATTTCAGAGGAAAGGGAAACTTTTCGAGGGGGAAATAAATAAAAAAGAAGAAAT